TTTTTCCCCTGTTAAAGGGTTTTTTGGGGAGTTTTTCCTGATCAGCTGTGAGGGTCATAAGGACAGAGGGATGTCGTATGCTGTAAAGCCCTGTGAGGCAAATTGTGATTTGTGATATTGGGCTTTATAAATAAAATTGATTGATTGATTGATGTATAGGTCCTGTTTGTGCATGTGTGTGTTCGGACCTGTGTCTTAATGACAACAGAGTGAAAAAATTTAATTTCCCCTCAGGGGGATTAATAAAGTATATAAAATGAAAAAAAAACATACCAGGGTCTCGGGATGTTTTAGGATTTAAGGTAAGGACTCAGTGGTCTACACGTGGCCAGTGCTGACGTTGTCGGTTTGTTACTCTGAGGTTTCTATGTAACGGTGTTCCATGTCCCGTGTTTCAGATTTTTTATGTTACCACCACATGACACTTTTAACATTACTACAACCAGAGAGGACCATAATGACATCATGGTTTAATGTAACGTCTCTGTCTCTGTTTCCTGTTTCCTGTTTGGTGCAGAGGTCCAGCAGCAGCTGTTGGTGGTTAAAGAAGAGGTTCCCCCTGAGCAGCAGGAGTGGAGCTCCAATGTGGACCAGGAGGACCCAGAGCCCCCACACATTAAAGAGGAAGAGGAGGAACTGTGGAGCAGTCAGGAGGGAGAGCAGCTTCAAGGGCTGGAGGAGGCTGATATCACCAAGTTCACATTCACTCCTGTCCCTGTGAAGAGTGAAGATGATGAAGAGAAACCTCAGTCTGAGGGACACCACTGTGGAGGACCAGGACCAGGACCAGTGCCTAGAGACTCTTCTGAAGCTGATGTAGAGGACTGTGGAGGACCAGGACCAGACAGGCACTCGCATCCGGATTCAGATTTACTACCAGACACTGAAGACTACTCCCTGAACTCTTCTGAGACTGACGACAGTGATTGGTCACAATCAAATGAAGCCCAGTCGGGCGTGGAGGGTCAGAAACACAGTGACTCCCCTGAGGGCGATTCGTCAACAAAGGAGAGACCGTTTCCTTGCTCCTACTGCGGAAAAAGATTCAGTCTGAAGGGAAACCTAAACCGACACATCAGAGACCACACAGGTGAACGACCGTTTCCCTGCACCGGCTGTGACAAGTCGTTTAAAGACAGCGGGTCGTTGACGGCACACATGAGGTGTCACACCGGAGAGCAGCCATACAGCTGTCTGTTCTGCGGGAAGAACTTCAGCGGCCGAGGGAACATGACCCGGCACATGAGGATCCACACCGGCGAGAAACCCTTCACCTGCTCAGTGTGCAGCAAAAGCTTCCACGTCAAAGAGCACCTCAACCGACACATGAAGTACCACACCGGCGAGAAACCCTTCAGCTGTTCCGTCTGCGGGAAAGGTTGCGCCCAGAAAACGGACCTGAAGAAGCACATGAGGGTCCACACGGGGGAGAAACCCTTCAGCTGTCCGTTCTGTGGGAAGTGCTGTGCTGAGAAAGGAGACCTGACCAAACACATGAGGGTCCACACAGGGGAGAAACCGTTCAGCTGCAACATCTGCGGGAAAAGCTGTGCCCAGAAGGGGAGCCTGAAGATCCACATGAGGACGCACACTGGAGAGAAACCCTTCAGCTGCTCCGTCTGTGGCAAGTGTTTTACCGTGACGGGACATTTAAAAAGACACATGAAGCTGCACGCCACCGACAGTCAGCAGGCAGACGGACGGGAGGCCGACAGTCAGCAGGCCGACGGACGGGAGGCCAAGGCCACAAACTCGTGTTCAGATAAAGTCCAACAGGAAGCCGAACCGGGGAAAACATCGTGATGGTCCATCAGTCAGGAGACACAGATACATTCGACTGTTACAGATAGAGTTTCCACGGGCAGGTAGGTCCTGGAAAAGTTATTTCCAGGCCTGGAAATGGTACGGAAGTAACTGGAAGCTGAACCTGTAAACACATTGTGATGGTCCGTCAGTCAGGAGATACGTTAACCAAGCTCCTCATGACTCGACTGTCACGGTGTTCCAGCGAGGAAGGTCCTGGAAAAGTTCTTTCCAGGCCTTGAAATGGTTTGGAACCAAACCCAAAAACACGTCTGACATTACACAACATACGTTCCTCATATCAGTAATTTAAAATCTAGCGTGACCCTATGTGACCCTATGTTAAAACATCACTGGTATCACGTGATGACCAGATTCAAAATGTTGCAGAGGCCACGTCCCTTTTTGGGAGAAGGAAGCGTGTTGTAACATCAGCAGAGAAACAGGAAGTTGCCAAATGCCGATGTTCTCCCCATCTAGGCATGGGTTTTGTGAGTCAACTGTACAGTTGCTGAAGCTAATTAACTTAGTATTAGATGTCAGTCATACGAGTTGTTTATCATTCAGCATTGTTTATGGATCTAGCACCGTTAGCTGTGAGCTCAGACACCTCCACCTCTGGTTTCGCCCTGTTTAACACTGTTAGCACTGTTAGCTGCTGGCTCAGACACTTCCACCTCTGGTTTCGCCCTGTTTAACACCATTAGCACTGTTAGCTCAGACACCGCCATGTTGAGAACCGTGTGCATACAATCTGACTTTACGGCAGATCATGTTGTTCACATGAATCAAGTCACAGATCTGCAGCTTTGATCCGACCAATGGGAGGAGAGAACAGTGTCACCTGACTGATCACATGATCCGAGAGTCAGTCTGACGGACACACAGGTTGTTAACAGACAATAAAGTTTTATGAATCACTTCATATTATTAAATACCAATAATGTTTATTTATTGGCTGCAGTTGAGTCATGTGATGTTTCTGATGTCAGAGGAAACAGGAAGTGAAGAAGGAGAAACCGAAAGTGAAGGAGAAGAAACAGGAAGATGTGTTTACTGTTGATCTCGTTCATGTGATGATGAAATAAAAGTGATCAACAGATGAAACTTTATTTAAAACAGGTCTCTAGCAGTGTGTTGTTTTCACCCTTAGTTCAGTCTGTCAGGTGTTGAGGTCAGGTAGATGGAATCTACGGTGAATCAGCTGGTCAATATTATTATTATTATTATTATTATTATTATTATTAGCATCATAATCATTATTAGCACTAGCATTATCATTATTAGCATTATTATAATTATTATTAGGGTTAGCATCATTAGCATTATTATTTTTCAATTGGCATTATAATCATTACTATTATTAGAATTATTATTAGCGTTATTAGCATTAATACTGTATTGGCATTATTATCATAATAATCACAATCATTATTGTTAGCATTACTATTATTATTATTGTTATTATTATTATTGGGGTTCTGCTGACAAGACAAGATAAAATAAGATATACTTTATTGATCCACCAGGGGGGAAATTCAAGTATCACAGCAACACAAGACAAAATCAAAGGACATTAAATAACATAAGAAGTAAAAATTAAAGATAATAATAGATAAATAAAAGATAAAATAAAATTGCTACATCAGATGAATAAAGTTACTAAACAATGGCAGACAAAGTGTTGAATGAAATAAAGTGACAGGTGGCAGATAAAGTGTCATATTGGACAGGTGTAAGATAGGTCCGTTCACAGCTGGATGTATCTTTTTTTTTAAAGATATTTTTTGGGCATTTTTAGCTTTTATTTGATAGGACAGACAAGTGTGAAAGGGGGAGAGAGAGAGGGAGTGACATGCAGCAAAGGGCCACAGGCTGGAGTCAAACCCGGGCCACTGCGGCAACAGCCTTGTACATGGGGCGCCTGCTCTACCACTAAGCCACCGACGCCCCAGAGCTGGATGTATCTTAAGCCAAAGCGCTGTTGTACAGTCTGATGACAGTGGACACAAAAGAGCATCTGAATCGTTCAGTTCTGGGTGGGAGGATCCGCAGGCTGAATGAGCTGCCCGTCAACCACAGCTCGTTGTGCAAAGGGGGGGGGGGGGGATTGTCCAGGATTGCACAGATTTTGTCCTTCACCCTCCTCTCAGCCACTGTCTCCAGACTGTCAAGGACCAGTCCCACCACAGAGCAGACCTTCCTCACAAGCTTGTTGAGCCTGTTGGCCTCACCAGTCTTAACTCCACCCCACCAGCACACTACAGCAAAGAACAGTGCACTGGCAACCATAGACTGGTAGAAGGTCTTGAGGAGCCCACTACAGACGGCAAATGATCTGAGTCTCCTCAGGAACAACATCCTGCTCTGTCCTTTCCTACACAAAATGAGGTTCTTAAAGGTTCTCCAGGTGCCAGTGACAAGACTCAGGTTCAGCTGATTTATAAGTGTTGAGTTTTTTTGTTGTTGTTTTTTAAACAAAGAACTTCTCTTGATTTTTTTTTCTTTGTTTCAGGTTGAACATGAGATTTGTTTTGTTTCTTTGTTTTGAGATGGTGACGACATGAAGAGAGTAGAAAAAAACAATCAAAAATACATATTATTTTCAATCGAGTTTAATTACAATAAATGTTAAATTAAAATAATAATTTACTTCCTTTTATGATCCAGAATCATTTCAGCAAGAAACCGACGGTAGTTCGCCCTCCGCTCCAGCAGGGTTCGCTGTTCGCTTGGCCGCTTCGCTGTGGTCCCAGCGAAGTGTCGTCGACGCGTACTCTCTCTCTCTCTCTCTCTCTCTCTCTCTCTCTCTCTCTCTCTCTCTCTCTCTCTGTGTGTGTGTGTGTGTGTGTGTGTGTGTGTGTGT